AACTTTCTCTTATGGAAGCAGCAAGTTCTGCTAACAGTTCACAGTCATCGTCTTGAACGGTTGCTAAATGGTTCCTTACCAATTTCGCCGGAGACAGTTCTCGATGAGCATGGTGACACAATTGCTAATGAAGCTTATGAAGATTTTCTAGCAGAAGATAGTGCTCTTGCGTCCTGGCTCCTATCCACGATCAGTGCTCTATGGTTGCCACAGTTTATTGGTGCTAAGTCAGTCGTTGTTTTTTGGAATACAGTTTTGCAGTTCTGTGCAAATCGATCAACAACCACGGTTATGGATTTGCATTACAAACTTCAGTCAATGAAGAAAGGAGATGATTCCAAACGGGTTTACCTCACCCGTGTTAAAGAAATCTATGATGCACTTACTTCTTGTGGAAGTCAGGTGTCTCAGGTTGAGCATATTGTAAGTATCCTTAAAGGAGTATCGCGGGAGTATCAACCGTTCATGGCAGTTATCATTACTACATGTGAAACTCTTTCATTGGAACAGGTTTACTCTATGCTTGTTGATGCTGAAATGCAGATTGCTGGGTTTGACTCTCATCCTGAGAACCTTCCAATTACTGCTCATGTTGTTCAAGGAAGATCGTTGGCTGCCTCGAATGATTCAATTCGTGGTGGTTGATCTGGAAGACGTGGTCAAGGTCGTGCTCGTCTTTAGTGTCAATTGTGAGGTAAGAATGGGCATTCTGTTGATCGATGCTGGTATCAGTTTGATCGAGATTTTCCTGGTGTCAATGCATCTTCTGGTTCATCACGGTCCAGGGATGAATCTAGTACGCTAATTGTGCCACATTTGAATTGTCAGGGTATTCTTGTTACGGTGCTAAGTCTGGTATGTCTTCTTCTAGTCAACCTCAAGTATATGTGGCTTTAGGCTAGCATTGGGTTTTTGATTTGGGGGAAACCCATCATGTAACTCCATATACCTCTAAGATGAAGCATTCCTCTCATTTTACCGGTCTAAGTAATATCCTAGTAGGTAATGGTATGTCACTAAGGGTGAACTCAATTGGTAAATCTATTTTACATGCTCCTTCTCAAGCTTCAATACTGAGTGATCTCTTGCATGTGCCAAAAATAAGAAAACATTTACTTTCGGTGTCCAAGCTTGCTAGGGACAACAATGTCTTCCTCGAGTTTCATGTCGATTAGTGCTTTGATCGAGATGAGGTGATCGGTGCAGTGGTTCTTCAAGGACAGCAACGTGAAGGTCTTTATACGTTTGATATGGAGCCTAAAGTTTTCTCGTGTAATAAAGTAAAGGTCAATAGTGTTTTTGGTTCTAGTATGTTTGACATTTTGCATAGGAGATTAGGACATCCTGCTTTTCATACTTTGATAGATGTGTGTAATTTAATCAATGTTAACATTTCAAATAGCATGAATACAACTTTTGTTTCTTATTGCATGGGAAAGAGTCACAAGATGCCCTTTGATTCCTTTACTACTATGAATGATGTTTCTTTTCAACTTAATTTTACTAATCTCTGGGGTGCCGCACATATCTCTTCTTGTGGTTATCGATACTATGTATCGTTTATGTATGCATGTACACGCTCCCAGGCTCTTGATGCATTTTGTTTATTTCAAACCATGGTTTCCACTAAATTCTCTTTGCCCATTAAGTCTGTTCATAGTGATTGGGGAGGCGAATACAGGAGGTTGTCTTGTAAGCTAACTTATGCAGGCATTTCTTATCGGATCACATGTCCTCATACCTTTGATAAGAACAGAGTTGTAGAATGTAAACATCGTCATTTGGATTAGTTAGCTCTTGTGTTGCTAGCTCATATTGCTCTTCCATTTCTGTTATGGTCATATGTTGTGGCTACAGCTGTGCATTTAATAAATCGATTGCCTACCAGAGTGTTAGGTAATATCTCACCATTTGAAAAGTTGTTTGGTACAAAACCAGACTACAAGACACTACGAGTGTTTGGTTGTCGTTGTTTTCCTCATTTGAGGCCCTTTCAGCAACATAAGTTGATGTTTCGATCTGCACCTTGTGTGTTCTTGGGTTACAGCTATTAGCATCGAGGCTTTCACTGTCTTTGTCAGGATGGTCGTGTTTATATATCAAGGCATGTTAAATTTGATGAGGATGTGTTTCCTTTTGCAGATAAGCAATAACTTGAGTGTACACCTAATAATCGTGCATGGTGGTCAGCTCCATTGCAGCTTGTTCCTGAACGTGTGAGAACAAGGGTTGTGTCTGGTTCATTGACACACCCTAAAACATCATCACATGCTCATGAAGTTTGTGTTGAGTCTACCAGGCAAGGTGGTACTGAGTCTAGCAGTCAAGGTGGTGTTGATTGGACTATGAAAGATAATGCAGCTATGTTTAGTGATCCTAAGCCTCCATAGTTTACCTACTGAAGTACTTGGAAATATAACTATTGCTGGCGTGCAATCTTCTATTGAGTATAATGTATCTTCTGTAAATCAGCATCCTATGCTTACGAGAAGCAAATGTGGGATCTTTAAACCCAAGGTTTTGGTTAGTTCCTTGGATTAATCTCTTCCTACTTCTATTGATGAAGCCATGAAATCCAAGGAATAGGAGGCAGTTGTTCATGCTAAGCTTACTGCTCTTTAGAGTAATGGTACATGGTCACTTGTAAAGCTACCTGAGGGACATACCATTGTTGGTTGTATGTGGTTATTTAAAATAAAGCGTAATTCTTATGGAACGGTTCAATGGTATAAGGCTCGATTGGTGGCTAAGGGATATTCTCAGGTACCTGGGCAAGATTTTAAGGAGACTTTCATTCCAGTCATGTTGTTTTCCACATTGAACGTTATATGTTGCGTGTTGTGAGTGCTATAAAATATACGCAAATAATGTGCAATTATACACAATCGCTCAAGTAATACAGTGATTAGTGAGTATCGTCTCCATAGGGATTGGGTGAAATTACAAAAGTCTAACCAAATATAAGCACTAATCTATCTATGTATAGTTAGTCTTTATATATACAAATGTCACGGTAAATGAAAATATGTATGAAGGTGGATGTATATGAATGGTCTGATGGTGTAGCAGATGGAAATGTAATGGCAAGATAAGATGCTTAGTGTTGAAAATGATGTAATGTCGAGGCAATGAAAGATGGTAAATAACAGTAAATAAAATGAAAATAAGATAATCCTCAAGTGACAAGCTTCTAATGGAATGAATGGTAGGGATTGATATAAGGATTCTAAACTTATTTATCATGTATATCTAAGTTATCTAGTCTTTACTTTCTCGACAGGGCTTTCCTAAAATGTTCTCAAAGGAACCTAACAGAATAGGATGCCAAGGCATCTGCTCTCACTCAACGATGTTGGCCAGCCTACCCTATTGATGAAAACACCCTTTTTAGTCGTTGAAATCCTATCCTAGTCTCTCTCGATATCTAAGGGATTAGGTTGTAATATCCCTAGGCTGGTTCAAAGCCCCTTGGAAATACTATAACTCATTGCTTATGAGGATCTAATCTTGCATTTCTCTCGAATACTTACAAGTATTTCTAGCTTAGGTTTCTCCCGAATACCTAAACTTCATCTAAAAAATGGACATTTCCATGCCTCTTACAAGCCTAGATGGTGAAGCATTCATAAGCAAAGCAAATAAAGAACCAAAATAAACTTAAATATACCATTAAAATAAAGTCTAAATATCCATTAAACCAACCACCACCAAATAAGTTAGTTCATGGTGGGGTTCGAAATTTCCAAACACAAAGTCATACAAATATTCATTCCAACAACCCAAAAATAAATATAAAAATAGTAGCAAAAAGGGAAGTGAGAAGTAGCCTTCGACGCACCACCAGAGGTCTCCTAGGCCACCACGAATCACCTTAGCTCGCTAGCTCCTCTCGGCACCTAGCTCGCCACTCCTTGGAGCTTAATCAATAGAGGAAAACCCAAGGAAAAAGAAAAGGAAAAGGAAATAAAAATCTGATTTGTTTTTGCTCTATGCGTGTGCCTCTTCACGTCTCTCTTCTCTCTTTTTAGGTGTCATTATAATAAAAGGATCTAGGGGTAATGATTAGGTTGTTAGGTGCAAAATACCCCTCATACCCCTAGAATCACACCATAAGCATGAACTTAATTCTCCAGGTGGCGTTAGTCCTCTAGAAGGTGGCTACAGTAATCATTCCACGTGCAGTGTCAGCTGTCCTCATACAACTGTATCTTTTTGTCATTTTCTGCACCAGAAATGCCAAGGAATTTCAATCTGCTTCAGCAACGTGTGATGCCGCGGCATTACTTCCCAACGAATCCTTTTCGCTTGCTATTCCTGCACATCATAGACAAACTGCACATTTCCCTCAAGCAGCATCATTAAGAAATAAAATAGCACTACCACCACAAATGCAACTATATGAAACTACATGATCTTAAAATGCCTAAAATGAACTTTTTAACAAACAATAACTTAAGTGAAAAAGGCCTTAAAAGTAGCCTTTTTAGGAAGTTAACATTATACTTGCGCTTGTTATTTCTGGAGGATGACTATTAAGACAAGTTGATGTGAACAACGCCTTTCTTAATGGTGATTTAAATGAAGATGTGTTCATTAAACAACCACTTGGGTTTGAGAAATATACTCTTGAATGCATCAAGTTGGTTTGCAAACTGTAGAAGTCTCTCTATGGACTGTGTCAAGCACCTCGAAATTTGAAAGCTAAACTGAAAGGTAGTCTTGTTCAATTCATTTTTAAAGAATCCAGAGCTGATGCGTCTCTTTTTGTTTTGACATAAGATGAAGTGTCAATATATGTTTTGGTATATGTTGATGATATAATAGTTACCGGGCAATCAATGAATGGGACGGAGAAGGTGGTTATGCTATTAAAAAACCACTTATTTTTAAAGGATCTGGGTGAGCTGCACTATTTCTTAGGCATTGAAGTCAAGCAATGTGATCAACTTTTAATTCTTAGTCAGAAGCAATATATTTTATAACTGCTTGAGAATTCAAAAATGAACAAGGCTTTATTCACTTCTACTCCTATGGTAGCTTCCTCAAAGTTGAACAAGGATGAAGGGTAATTATTTGTTGATGCTCAAAGAATTTCATAGTTTAGTAGGGGGCTACTCTATGTGTGTCACACAAGGCCTGATATTACCTTTAGTGTGAATAATGTGGCTCAGTATATGTATGCCCCAAGAGAACAACATTTGCTTATTGGTAAACGTATTCTACATTATCTAGCTGGGACGTTGAACTATGGTCTTGGCTTTATGCCAGACAAATTACATTTATCAGCCTTCTCGGATGGTGATAGGGGTGGTTTTGCTGATGACAGACGATTAATTTATGGTCACTGTGTGTTTGTTGGAGAAAGTCTGGTTTCATGGAGTGCAAAAAAAAAGGTGGTGTCACGGTTAACCATGGAAGCTGAATATAGAAGCCTCGTAGATGCAACAGCAAAGGTGGCATGGGTTGATGCCTTGCTCATTGATTTGAAGGTGCCATAGTATATGCAACCAACAATATGGTGTGACAACACAAGTTCAATCGCATTGAGTGCCAATCCGGTGTACCATTCTCAGTCCAAGCATGTGGACTTATATGTGTATTTTTTCCGGGAAAAAGTTGTTGCGATTCAACTATATATGAATTATGTTCTGCAGCACATCAAGTTGCAGATGGCTTGATTAAACTTTGTCAAAGAAATCCTTTACTAGTTTTCATGATAAACTCAAAGTTTACTTGTTTGTTGAAGAAGGGAAGAAGCAAGGAGAATGTTGAAAGTTACCTCATGTGCTCGTGCAGCTCCATGCGTGTTCGTGAAGCTCCATGCATGTTCCATGCATGAGGAAGTTCTAGAAATGGTCTAGAAGCTAGGTTGTTAGAAGTTTGTTAGTCTAGCAGGTTCTTAACAACTTAACAGCTTAACAGCTAGTTGGTTAGGTGGTTTTCTTGAGTAGCTAAAGCATTGTAAGTGAGTTGTATAAAAACAGTAGTGTAGATTGTGTTGAAATAGTGTTATTGATGGAATGAAGTAAAGCATATGTTTCCTACATCATTTCTTGAAATCTTCTGCAATATTCAACAGTCTCAACCATTTGACAAGAAACGTTCATCACTTGTATATACGAGCTCAAACCTTAGAACTCAGAGAATAATAATAAATTCATTAATCATTAAGGTGTTTAATTAGTATTTTAATAATTAATTAATTTTTAAATATGTATTATTACCATAAAATTACCATGAAACAGATTAAAATGAATCAATATAACGAAAACTCTGGCATCAACTACAATACTAATTTTCTATCCTTGATAAGCCAATTAAAATAATCAAGAAAACATACGAACTAAGTTACTCTAGTGATTAGAGAGATAATTGTTGTATCTAGAGGTCTTGAATTCGAGCATATCATATAAGGAGTATTTGAGCATTAATTGTCAAATGAATTAAAAGTCTTTCGAACAAATATTACTTTATAATCACACTTAAATTGATAAAAAAAATAATTAGAGAAATCTGTCAGTCAAATAATCTTAAGAAACGATCTTAGTATTTAATTCACTAATAACTTTATTAAAAAGATCTTACTTAAATCAGCAAACATAATTATACAACTCATTCAAATTATATCAATCATTCCAATAACATAACCCAATTGCACACTGAATTGAACTATGTTAACGTACGTGTTCTTGAGCTAAAATCATATAACAAATATGAATCAAATTCTAACCAATTATATATTACTCTTCAAATATCAAACAAGAGCTTAATCCCTTCTTGAAATTCAAATCTCATAACTCTATGAATAGAGTTTTCATATAATCAGGATTACGTGATCAAGTAGTCTCGGTGATAAAATAAGAATGTTATTTTTTTAAGATTTTGAGTTGAAGCAGTTGCATCTGCAAGGTGTGTGTGCTTGTCAATTGATTAAAAAATCTAAACTATACACCTTACAAATGCAATTGTTTGAATTTAAAATCTAAAAAAATTTACGTCACTTAATTTAAATAAAACAAAATGCAAATACTTTTTTTTTAATTTGGGGAAGAGTTTTATTGTTATGGCAACTATTTCATTCATCCAAGAAGAGTCATAAAGCATTTGCACATGGTCCATAGTTCATGCAGTAGTTACGTTTCATGTCCTTTTGCGTGCCACCGATTGCGCATATGCAAAGCCATATGGTGTACGCATACTATGCACATGCCTAGAAAAAAATCGAGAAAGAATAAAATGAATCGAACAAGTTAAATCTATGTTATAAAAAAATATGTGTTTATGTAATTTATATATCTTAACACCAATATAAATAAGAGCCGAGTTTTTAAAGTAATTAAATATAATATTTTCAAGTAACTTTCGTTAAATGATTAGAATAAAAAGCATAAGCAAAATTACTTTAACATACTGTTACTTTTAGAAGTGACGTCGTTTAGACTCACCAACACCCCGACGGTATTCATAGACTTTATGAATTGAGTGTTCCATCCATATTCGGACCAATTTGTGGTGATTTTTATAGACAACATCCTAGTATACTCATGATCAGAGGAAGAGCATGACCGACACCTTCGCATAGTTCTACAAACCCTTCAAGACAAATAGTTGTTTGCCAAGTTTAGGAAATGTGAGTTTTGACTGATCGATATTTCATTTCTTGGCCATGTCGTAGCAACAAATGGTATCTAAGTTGACCGTCAAGAGATTTAGCTAGTGCTAGAATGGGAACCGCCGAAGAACATAATCGAAGTGTGTAGTTTCTTGGGTCTTGTTGGGTACTCTAGTCGGTTTATAAAGGGTTTCTCGATAAGTTTCATAATGACTAAACTACTTCAGAAGGGAATACCATTTATGAGGGGGTCAGAAGCAACAGAGGAGTTTCAATCAGTGGAAATCCATTCTAACTCAAGCCCCAATTTTAACTATGGGTGTGCAAATCCGGGTATCCGGATCTTTGGATAATTGATTTCTCAGCCCGTGTCCCGACCCGGATGTTGCGGGTACCCATATACTTGATTTTTTTTTAATTATTAATTAAAAAACACACGTACAAATTTAAATGTTTGAAACTTCGAATTACATAGTCCAACATCCAAACATTATAAAAAATGTTAGCCCAACATCCAAACATAATTAAAAAAAATGTCATGTTTGCATCATTGTTCATTTTAAAATATGGGTGACCAAAACATAATCAAAACGTAATGTTAGGTATAATTTTGAAAAAAAAAATAATCGAGTGACCAAAACATAAATTAGATTATATATAAGTGACCAAATAGGTAGTTTACCCTAAATAAAAATATATAGGAATTATATTAGATAATATATAAGTGACCAAATAGGTAGTTTACCCTAAATAATAATCGAGTGACCAAAACATAAATTAGATAATATATAAGTGACCAAATAAGTAGTTTACCCTAAATAATAATCAAGTGACCAAAACATAAATGAGATAATATATAAGTGACCAAATAGGTAGTTTAACCTAAAAAATCTCTAACTGGGTACTCGGGTAACAGGGTACCCGAAAAAATTCAATTTTGTGACCCAGGCCTGACCTGGGAAATGTTGGGCTGAGTACTCGACCTGGTCAGGTAATGTTTTTAGAAAATTACCCAGTTTTTTTAGGTTCGGGTCAGTGGGTCGACGATTCGACAGGTCATATCAATCGGGTCAGTTATTTTTGCACGCCCCTAAATTTAACCCAACCTGAGTGAGAGAAAGATTTAACTGTGTTTAATGATGCCTCACTAGATGGATTTGGTTGTGTTTTGATGCGTGAGAGAAATGTGGTAGCCTATGCATCCCGAAAAACTCAAACTGCACAAGCGTAGCTACCCCACCCACGATCTAGAGCTAGTAACGGTAGTTTTTGCACTTAAAATTTAGAGGCACTACCTGGTTGATGAGAAGTGCCACATCTTCACCGACTACAAAGGCCTTAAGTACCTACTCTCATAGAAGGAGTTAAATTTGAGACATCGTTGGTGGGTTGAGTTGTTAAAGGACTACAACTGCGTGATTGACTACCACCAATGGAAGGAGAACGTAGTTGCTGATGCTTTGACCTGGAAGTCGATGTCTGAGTTGTGAGCTTTGTTAGCACACTTAAGCTTATCTAGTGACAGAGGGTTGTTAGTTGAACTTCGAGTGGAATCTTAGTTAGTCAACGAAGTCAATAGATTGCAAGGTTCAAACAATCACCTAAGGTCTTGTGTGAAACATGTCTATCGAGGTAAGGCCTTAGGTTTCGAGTTGTATGATAGAGATGTACTATTTTTATGGTCGTTTATTTGTACCCACAGACAAGTAGTTGCATAGCAAGATCCTCTATGAAGAACAATGTAGTTCTCTCTCAGTTCATCTGGGTAGTAACAAGATGTAGCAAGAGCTTCGAACATTGTATTAGTGGACGAGCATGAAGAAGAAAGTATTTGAGTTTGTTGTTAGATGTTTAGTATTCCAACAAGTTAAAGTGGAATATCAGGTTCCTTCAGGGTTGCTCTAGTTGATTTAGATACTGCAATGAAAGTAGGACATATAATTTTGAACATCGTGATAGGGTTACTGATGACTAAGAAGAGATACGATGCAATATGGAATATAATAGATCATTTGAAAAAGACAACTCACTTCCTACCAGTTAGGATGGATTACACCTTAGAGAGGTTAGCACAGTTATAAATCCATGAGATAGTGAGATTGCATGGGGTACCAACTTCGATCATTTTAGATAGAGACCCTCGTTTCACTTCCCGATTTTAGAAGGCCATTCATGAATCTTCAGGTACCAATCTTTACTTTAGCACTGCTTTACACCCTCAAACAAGCGATCAGATTGGATGTGTTATTTAGATTCTAGAAGACATGTTGAGGTGCATCACCATAGACCTTGAGGGTAGTTGGGGGAACCATTTTCCACTATTAAAGTTCATGTATAAAAATAACTACTAGTCTAGTATTCAAATGGCTTCGTACGAGGCTTTATATGGGTGCAAGTATAGGACTTCTCTTTGCCGGAAAGTGCACAGTGAAGGAAAGATGGTGCGACCGGACTTAATCAGAGAAACCGAAGAGAAAGTTCAATTGATCCAGATTCGGTTAAATGAATCTTTGGATAGACAGAGATCATATACAGATTTGAAATGCAACAATATTGAGTTTGTCGTGGGAGACAAGGTTTTTCTCAAGGTGTGTTCGTGGAGGAAGATACTTCCATTTGGGCGTAAGGGAAAGTTAACCCCATGTTGTATAGGACCATATGATGTACTCAAGAGGGCAGAACCTGTAGATTACTAGTTGGATATACCTCCAGAGTTGGAGAGCATCCATAACGTGTTCCACGTGTCCATGCTTAGGAGGTGATGTTCTGATCCTTCCCACATCGTACTATTAGAGAATAAAGAGGTGATCAAGGACATGACCTGATACATGCATCACAAGGCTCACGTCAAAAGAAGAAGTAATAACTCTTCCAAATGATCCACTC